CAGATACACCACTATCCTAATGATGATATTGAACACAAAGCTTTATAAATACATAAAGTACTTTCTACAACAGATTGCTTCACCCAGCTCTCTGTCAAGGTGTAGAAGCTTCGAATGATAAGAATAAAATCAATGATCATCTCATTTCATTAATTCACTGCAAACTCGATGATATTTTTCTATTTTTCTTTGGAATTTCATTAAAAAGCAGATTTATTTCATAAATCTAGCGAAGCGTCTGCACAGGTTTCTAGGATGATTCTTTACCTTCCTTATCATGGGCAGACAAACAGTTCAGGATAAACTAGTCAGATGATAGACAGTAGACAGTGCGGTAAAAAAATATGGACGTATTCAAGGTCTTACCATCTACTGGGGGTTATCTTTTGGCAGCACCACCGTACTAACGCGAAGACATGCCATTGCGGTACTTCCTGCTCGTTTGATGGGGCAAATAACCACTGCTGATATTTGGGGACCGATCGCGATCTGTGCTGTCTGCTGCACTCTCTCCGACTCACTGGAGTGCTGCACTGACGTCCCGGCGGCAGCGTCGTGACGTCACAGCGCCGGCACAGCCGCTTCTTTGCGTACGCGTTATTCCGGCCGGACTCTTCCGATTTATCGAGCGAAATACGGCGATCGGAGGCCTGTTTTTACCAGAAAAAAAATTATTTGCGATAGGCGACGCAGACTGTTCATCAGCTATTTTTTAGGAACCTTTCAACAGAGCTGGAGTATGTCATAACTTTTATAAAGAAGTCAAATGAGTAAGACTTTTTGAATTGATTCGGAATTTTTCGAAACAATTCACTTTGAAGAAAAAAATCATGCCTGTTTCCTGGCAATGATTGATATTTTTGTCCCGCCACCGATGAATTCATTGCATGATGGTGTAATCATGAAAATACATTATTCCATAATACAGAATTAGTTCTGTAAAGTTTCGAAACCATTTCCAGACCAGACATCAATCTTCATATTCATGGTATGAATCTCCATAACTCCTTCTATGGAATTGAGAAAACCATGTTCCACCTGAAGAGAGGTAAGTTTTTTCCATTAAATCTCACAATGATCTTTATATCATCCTGTATATACCACATCTTGGAGGTATTGTATCTGAACAGTCTCACATTACCAAAAACTATCAAAACAATGGCAATTTTCCAAAAACATTCATTGCATCATCCTAAAGAAAAAATATATCTCCGACATAAAAGTTCTGATTAAAAGAAAAATAGATTCGAAAAAAAAATCAAGCTCTATGATCTTCGTGAAAAAAAAATTTGCTCAAACGTAAACATAACGACATCGTTGCGATTTTACACTACTTCAATTATTATCATCCTTTAAAACATTCTAAATGTAGGGACTGGTGCTCGCCTGAAAACGTTTCTGCCCAATACGAAGGAACCCTTAAGCTGTCGTTGATGACTTTGACGTGGTATCGAAATCAACCAAGCATACATTTTGTTCATAGGCAGCGGCAAGGCGGATGACGTTGGCTCAAGTGTTTTGTTTGTCACCAGGGGTCGGCTATTTTAAGATAATATCAAAATGAGTGCTGATATTATTTGTTCCGTTTTAGTTCCGCAAAACCTACAAAATATGAAGTGTTCTGTTCTTTGAGGTAAAAATTCCACGATTGATAATACTTAAGATGTTTCGATGTTTCTTCTCATCGGTAAGTTTTAGGGAAATGAATAATTCATTATTTCAATTTGCTTTCAAACATTGAGCAAGAATTCAAATCAAATGGAATTATGTATGTTCTGTATATTCATTCAGCTGTGAAAAATTTGAGTTAAGGCGTGAGGGGCCAAACCTGCTCATCTATTTTAGACTATTTTGGATTAGAAGTTCTCTCATTCAATAATGATTCTAGAATTCCTATAAGAGAAATGAATAGTTTGAGGCTATCATGTGACCATTGAACCTTAGCCACTCAGGAAGAATAATTATTATGTTCAGATCACATTACGCCAGATAGCTTTCTGATACTTCCAGGCAAATTCAGGACATGCAAATTCGCCGTTTTTTGAAATAAAGTTCTCAAATCTGAGTACTTGGATGCTATGAGACCTGAATACGGCAAATTTCATTCGTTTCTCTATATATGGTTTATCAACCTTCCATAGTAGACCCCTCCCAACCGTTAACATGACAGATCACTAGTCCGATCTCCTGAGTAGCTCACATTTTTCCTTATAAAATTGGCGGTCTAGATTAGTCTATAAGCAAGTTGGTTTCTCCTCGCCGTCTAAAATTTCAACAAAGGTAAACGAGTCCTAGCAATGCGACAACCTGAGTTGGCCTGATCGCTGTGGTATCGATAAAGACAACTCCCAAAATGGGTCGAACGTCATCGAACAATTGCCACAAAAGGTGCATCTCAAAGTAGACTTGATCTGCCCGACAAAAACTTAGAATTGTTCATTCTAAAGTATCTCGATCACGGATCCATTGCACTGCTCAATGACTTGTTGATTTCCATGAGTACTGGCTTTGGATTCGAGTTGGGTTTTTCTACGGCTATGTTGATGCAGATAACAATTATTGTGTATCCTGCTGCGAGGAGCCTATGGATTAATTTTTCCTTGCATGCTTGTTTGAAATGTCTGTTACCACTTGGTACACTCACCTAATATCGCATATTCAGACTTCGTGTGTGCTCTGATTGGAATTTGTTGTATGTTACTTATGTTAGATTACCCAGATCTGCTGGCCTATGATTTCTGAGATAGGCTTTAGTTTTTGTGGCGTTGAATCCAACTAGGTTTTTGGTTCTCCAGGCTGAAATTGCATCCGTGAGGTCTCAGTATCCTGAGATGAAATGGGAACTCTGATGGAAGAGTATGGAGACATCTGCGAAAGTCTTATAACTTGGACTTACTGATGATGATTACGTTCTTGTAGAATTTGATGCCGGAGAAGAGGTGACAATGTTCCACCTCGGTGTGAATTTTAAATTAACTTTATGAAGGAAAAAGAAAAAATTACGGACTATTTTCATAACCTGTGAATTGCTGAAGTGTCCATTGTTTTCATCTAGCAAAAATGTCATCTCAGTGTTAGAATCACATTTGGTTCCTTCGTTCCTAGTTCATTGTGACCCACTGATACTGTATGAAATACAACAGTAATTTTATTTTGAGAAGTACTTATTGAAATTTGAGTAACTTATGGCAAACACTTCTTTCGTTGTATTGTGTCCCGGTCACCTCTTGAAATGCCAATTATGATTTTGTCATGGATAGCATGCCTCAATATTCAGATATTCCAATTTTCAGAACCATTCAGAATTTTCAAATAATTCAGGAGTTACCTTCAAATTCAATTTTAGTTGCACACATTTTGGTGAATACGTCTACGCCAAAATCGACGTTTAACCTTACAACCTTCGCCATTTTATCGAGTCCTTCATAAAAAAGCCCACAGGAACCTGGAGGAACGTTGTACTTTGATTTATCCAAAACAATTTCTATGTGAATGGGCCTTGAATGGTTTGAATTGAATTTTTCAATCGGTTTCTCCGAAGTGCTTTCCTCCTGTGGTATGTAAGTTAAGGTGTATATATAAGCCTTTCATTTTCTATCCCCTTAACCTATTTTTCTGTAAAAAAATCAAGGTGAAGAATTGAGTAGTTTGAAAATTGTTTTTCTTTCCAGGTATTCTCTATGGTTTCTTCCAAATTGTCCTTCTCCCAAGGTATGTAAGTCATTTCTTTTCCTTTTTCTTTATCTATCATCAATTCTTCACAATATTATTCATTCAGGAAGGAGGTACGAGGAAGAATAATTATTTATACACCAAGGTAGCAAATAATATCATTATTACCCAGGGACAGAGATTAAATCCCGAGGCTTCAGCCGAAGGGTGTAAGTTTCCATGGTAATAATATTATTCACTACCAAGGTCTATATTATAGTATATTATGTAACAAGTGTTATAAACGTCCTTTTAGTAACGAGTATTTTGAGAACGAGAGGAGCAGAGCGGAGCGAGTGTTTAATAAACGAGTGTATAGAAGAGTTTATAAACGCGTTACATACTATGCTTTTTCTACGAACTCCGAAAATTACATTAAAATACCTGCGATTCCTGCTAACCCACAAAATAATTCAAAAGGAATGGGAATTGAGAACATAATACAAGCAAATGCATGCAACCAGCGAGACACGTATAAGTGATATTGGTTGTAGAAGTGATATTGGTTGTAGATATGCAAGTACCAAAACATTCTCTTCGATTTCACTTTCGTCTACATTTCGCATATATTTTTAATGAAGAATTCTGATACAAACGAATATTGTTTGAATAATTCTGATACAAAATATGAAAATTACAGTTGACAGTTGATACAATTGACAGGCCAGACATGTCTCAAATTACTGAAGCTGTGTTTAATGAACTGCGTTGCCATGGTAATGTGTTTAAGAAATCGTGTTGCCATGGTAACGTGTTTAATATTTTGAATGAATCACAGATCAACAATCCGTGATTAATCGATCATTTAGCGTGGTACATATCTGTACGCTAAATGCCATTTTAGTTATGTGAGTAGAAAAAATATTTTTTTACTACTAGCAATATCATCCAATTATTATTGTTCTGAGAAACTTAGATATGGACCTATATTGTCACTATAGAAGCACTTCTTTTCAATTCTAATTGAAATCTAGTAGTCATGACCATGACAGCATAATGAGAAGTCATTATCGATCAATAACTATAGATTCAACTGCCATTCCTGCGAATCTCTCATCCGAACAGTAAATTCGGGTTTATTATAACAGAGGCAGCTATGTCTTTATTGACTAGTAGTTCATGAAATGACGAAAACTAGGTACCTTATTATAAAAACACACTTTAGGCCTTGAAAAGGAGTAAATATAATGATAGGTTTCTATAGCTAGTGGTGGAGAAACGTCTTTTATCATGAACATGTTTTTATACAGTGAGCTCTTCAATAATCTTTGAATCGAAATTCGACAACAAGATTTGATTCTCTTTATTTGACACATCTCAATAATTGACATCTATTCCTAAAATACAAAAAAGGAAACTATACAATTCCTATCACAATATGACTAGATGGTAACCAATACCAATGTCAAATCAAATGAAATTACAGGAAATATTATAGTCAACAACATCATAATATCGATATGAACAATTATTTATGAACCACAATGTGTAAAAAAGTGCTTCCAAAAGAATGATCATGGATCACAAAGATATGTGATAATCAATGTCGAAACTCGTATACATAATAACGGACATAATATGTATATGTAGGTACAATTTCCTGTGAATATCCATTTTATTACACACTGTGCTGTATAATAAATATAATGAGAAAAGTCAGTACAATAAATTGTCACGCAGAAAGTAGGTAGATTAGGTACTTGAAAATAAGTACAGTTCATTAGTAAGTAAGGATAACTACATCTAGGATATTTCTTATAAAAATACAAATACTTTCGATTCTTTGATAATATCGATACAAATAATAACCCCCTGGCTAGAATCAGCACAAAACACACAAAAGTTGAATATGAATTATCACCCGTGTAAACCATCATCCTCTGAAATAAATAAAGTTCTTCTCTTCACATTAATATTGATAGATTTAAATCAACAAACGCAATATAAAGCAGAAATCACACATTTGTCTGTAAATGCCTCTTATAAATACAAGTTCAATGAAGTCGTTGATGTTCCATATAAGTTGTTCTGTTTGAATGAAGTTTAGAAATTGTTTTATGGTTATTCTAAAAATTAGTGAGTAGGCGATTCCCGTTATCTTGTATGGTGACAGGTCAATAGTAAATCTTGATATATATAATATATAATATACTTCTTGATATGAAGTGATATAAATGATACATAATGGACTGTAAACGTTTACCTATCACAGTAATGTCTATAGTACCTATATCTTTACATGGTTTTCGATTTTTTTGCTAAATTATGATTGATTCTACGATTTGTGCTGTTCAATAAGGAGTTTTTGGTTTCAAGTCACAATGGCGATACCTGCAAAAAATAATTTATATAGAAAGATCTTCCCAATCCTCTCTTTCTCTAGGAGATAGAAGTATCCTAATATCTGATATATTTGACAACTGGTCGTGTATTCTGGGGGCCAGTGGATTATTGGTCAGGTCTATGGTTTGCAGCGATGGAGCTTCTCTCAGGCAATCTACATCTATATCTGTAACAAGAAGAACTGTTATACAGGGTGTATCTAAATAACACCGAAAGAATTCAGAGGGTGATTCCTTGAAATAAAGTTCATATAAACTTGGTATTAATATTTCCATGAAAAATCTTGTTTCTAGTCATTTCTCAATATGCACCAGAAGAAGCTCTATATTACTATTAACAAAACCACAACGTTTTATTGAAATTGGTGGAAAGACAATTGAGTAATAAAATAAAAACCGATTTTTCATGGAAATATTGAAACCCTGCAAGTTAGGACACATGACCATATGGACTTTATTTCCTAAAATATCACAAGGAATCGGCCCTTGAATTTTTTCGGTGTTATTCAGATATGTACAGTGTGTCCAGTTTTCGATGCTTTTGCCTGATATCTCAGTTACCTTTGGAGATAGAACCTTGCGGTTTTCGCTGTCCTGTGCCACTTTTTTGTGAAACTCAAGATGACCTCATCAGATTTTGTTTGTTGTTTCCGTTTATGAGATACAGGGCGATTTTGAAAATTTATACTTTTTGGACCCCCTCTATATCCACGAAGTTTCTCAACAAAAATGTCAAATCAAAATCTTGTCGCACAGAGAATTTTACGCATAATCCAGTGGCGCACTAATTTTTTTTTTCGGGGTATGGTTTTGGAGATACGACTCAAACTTATGCTTTTTCAAATGGAACACCCTGTATTTCATAAGCTCATTAAATTCCTTTTTTTTTCTTCAAAATGATATATAACGAATGAATATAAAATTTTCAAAATTGCTCAAAATCACTAAAATATTGAATTTTGATAGTTGGTTATGGATTTTTCTTATGAAAAACGTTCCAATTGAAGAAATATTTCTTTACATTTTTCCATGGAGAGGTCAAAACCAATATCAACACGTAATAATCAACGAAACTCTAACCTTGGGTACCTGATAGCAACAAATAAATAGTAATAAAAAGCTCATAATGTAGAATAAGCACCTGATTAAATATTTACTAAAATAATTTAATTCCGGAATTATTCAGTAACTTATTCATTGGCATGTTCAAATTGATATCCATTTTCCCCACCATACAGTTGACAAACTTTCTCAATACTTCTCAATACAGTGAGTGGCCCAACATACTTGAAGAACTTTGTGCAACAACAGAGGCAGTTTTCCAGGAATTACAAAGATATCTTTCAATGATTAATATGTATTGAAAAAGTTTGTGATGAAAAATGGACATCAATTTGAACAATTCAATGAATAAATCACTGAATAATTTCGAAATTCAATTGTTTTAGTAAATATTCAATCAGGTGCTCATTCTACATTATAAACTTTTCATTACTATATATTAGTGGATATCAGGTATCTAAGTCTTGTGTATTGCAAGTTAATTATTGTTGAAATTGTTATTTCCCTCTTCATGGAACAATCAGAGGAAATATTCCTTCAATTGTGAATTTCTTTATATTAAAATCCCTCAAAAAACCCATAGCTATTAAAATTCAATGTTTTAGTGATTTTTTAACATTTAAGAAGATGATATATTCATACATCATATATCATTTCGAAGGGAAAAAAATAAGGAATTTAATGAGCCTATAAAATACAGGGTGTTCAATTTAAAAAATCATAAGTTTGAGTCGTATTTTCAAAACCACACCCCGAAAAAAAAATTGTGCGCCACTGGATTCTGCATAAAATTCTCTATGGGTCAAGATTTTAATTTGACATTTTCGCTGATAAACTTCGTAGATATAGAGGGGGTCCAAAAAGTATAAATTTTCAAAATCGCCCTGTATCTCATAAACGGAAACAGTCCTGCAAAATCTGATTAGGCCATCTTGAGTTTCACAAAAAAGTGCAAAAGCATCGAAAACTGAACACATTACTTATTTTGTGAAATATCATGCAATTTATAATTGTATGTGGTTAACTAAAGATTAATAATAATATAGGTAGTCATAATGATGAACAAGGGTCAACATATTTTTCTGTAGATCATGAAATGTTTCAGTAGATCAATATGTAAATCAGGACGAATAGTAATTGCCCTCGGAAATAGTCGGGGTTTTGTTCGAAAATCAGCAGAACGTAAAATGTGATTTTTTGTAGAGGTCGGGAAAAAATGTATTTCAATGTAGATTCATGAAAACTCACCGACTATGTGATTATTGCTAGCATTCAAATGCCTCAGCTTCGGCATCTTGAAAATACAGTCCGATAACCCAATGAAGGTGTTATAGGAGATATCGAGGTTCTCCAAGGATCCCATATCAGCCCATTCGTCAGGCAACTTGGACATTTGATTGTGCGACAGGTTCAGGTCACTTATCAGGTTGAACTTCTCCGCAAACTTGGGAGGTATCTTCGTGATATCGTTCTCGCTCAGATCGCAGCTTTTCAATTCTGTATGCCTCATGAGGTGGTAAACGGCGTCTGGCACTTGCATCAGTTGACAGTTCGAGAGATCTGAAAAAAAAAGAAGAAGCATTAGATATAGTCACGAAAATAAAGAGCTATATTGGGCAAGATATCATTTCCTTCTGCTGCCACTATTCACCTAATTGAGTGTTAAAACATTCATTTTCATTATGTGGCCTTGACCCTGTTTCGAAAGTGATGGTTCAAATGCGTAATCCCGAGATAGTTTACCAGTAAGCAGGTCTGAATCTGAATTTCAAATCACCTACTTCGGAATACATGACCTCTTCTGATGGTTACAAAAGAAGATTCGAACGCCCCAGTTGAAATCTTTCATTTACGCTTACAAATCAGGAAACAATAATGATTTCCTATGAAACGTATAGACGTAACTTTCTCATCATTCTATAATTTATTGCGTAATATTTTTCAACAAAAGTGTAGGTAATTAATTTGTGAAGCAAGGTGAAACTGATTAGGCAATAGTTATTGTGTTTGTTTAACCAAAAATTATCGATAGATAACTGAAAAACAATATTACGATTCTTGTCTGATTCATATATTTTTTTCATTTCTCTGTTCATGTAAAATCATAATGTCTCCATCATGTTAGGTGAAATCAGAAATTGGGATTAGACAGGCAAGGCATATTTATAGGTTTGACCTCTTAAAATAACGTAAATCTGGCAAGGCAGCTCCGATGTTACGTATTAGTCTTTAGACAAGTAGCTGATTCTAATAACTGTATAATACTAATGAGAATATACACTCACGATTCTTCGTATCTTTATAGTTACTAGCTGAAGCCTTTTTGTCTACCTAAATTTTGATTTTCCATGGCATCTTCACAACGAAGGATCACTCTGGATACAGCAGACGCCATCTTGCTTGCCTCAGCTGCAACCTGCTTCTGTTATCTGTTGCCTCACCTGCTCATGAACAAGTGAAACGAAACCACAGTCGAAACGACATACGACATCCCAACGCATGCTGGAACTCATGCGCAGATCATTTCATTAGATGCTTGCTGTGGTTTGGGTGTATGTTGTTTCTATTTTCAGATGACGAAGATTATTCAATGTTTATAGATCTACAATAGTAAATGACCTCTTAGATCTACAAGCCGGAGTTTACTATATGGATCTATTAGACTGGACTCATGGAGTTTAACTCACTCAGCTCGAACAAATCCAGCTAGCTATCAAATTCGAATTGGAAAAATGACCCTTCATACCTAGGTATCCAGTAATTATGGATCTAAAGGGTCTCAATTTTCTCCGGAACCAGGAGGCCTTCGCAGAAACTTCTGATGGGACATTTTCAAATATTCACTAAGATTCAAGATTCTAGTAGACTTGATCAAGGATTTTATGAAAAGAAAAGAAAAGGCATTCTCCAACCTTATGGATAATTCTAATCAGTTTTGGATTTATGATAAATTGACATTCATCATACAGGACGTGGAAAGAAATTCTGATTTCCAGCTGCTATGCCTCATGGATTTCATATAGGGAGGGTCTTAATCCCATATTACATCCTGAAATGTCATCGTATTATGATGGTGTTGATGGAGGCACTTTTACCGTATCTTGAGCTGAATGTTAGTGATAGTAAAACTAATACTATGTTATCAGTTATTGTCCTGAGTAATATCACGATGTTCTTAATATTCGAGATAAAAATTGTATAAATTAATATTTCCAGAGAGTTTATTTCCTGACAGTCAGCTGTTTATATGGAAATAAAAATGCGAAAGCGAAACCATTGAGCATCATAATAATTTTCATACAATGAAGCGAGTTCATGGACTTCTTAGTTGAGAACACTTACTTTCTATGTTCACTGTAGGCGGTAGGAATATTTCTCTCAGCCGGAAACTATTCTTGGATGATAAAACAAAGACCTGTTCTTTTCTGGTCTCTCCTTAAATAGCATAAAATTGCACTTGGTATAGTCCAACCAATTATCATAGTACCTACTATAGCCTTCTTTATTAGAATTCCTTATAAGGATACATTAAGGTGGACCAGTAGCCACTATTTATTTTCACATGAATACGCATATCTGATGAAGTTTAAAAAAGAGATACTCTATAGGAGAATGTCCAATTTTGATGATTGATTTTCTATGAGATCGTGAGAATAAACCAAATCATTATAAACACAGATAACTTATATGATTTGATAATTGAAATCCTGTTTTTCTGGAGGCTGGACATATAAAATAAGGAAACGCATAAATTTGGTGAAAATATGTTTTCTAATTTTTATGAAAAGTGGTTTTTCGGTTTCTCAAATAAGCGATTCAATTATCTTAATGTCACCTATAATCTCACACTAGTGATTATAAACTGTCAGATTATTAGAATTTTTTGCACATCCTACTAAAATCATAGACAAGTTATTCTGACAAACGGACGAATCTATCGCTAGTTCACCTAATTTGGAGTTTGATGATTGTTATTCTTTGGTATCAAAATTGGGATTTGAATAACGCCTTCAATAAAAATGCCTCAAAATGGAGCTGAATATTTCTATAAATAATAATAAAACATCTGTCAAATGGGATGCGCGCTCGTGAAAAGTAGGCCACTTCATTCATTTTTTGCCTGCTCTATACAAATATCAAAACAGATCCACAAATTTCGCCATACAGAGTGTTGTTTTAGAAATAAAAGAAATTTTCTGTTTTTCCTTAAGACGGACCTAGATTCTGATCTAAATTATTATTCAGTTTTGATGGGTAATAACTCGAGTAATTCGAATGGAATATTACAACCAAGTATAAATAGATTATACAAAGTGGTTCAAAAATTATGGCCAGATGAATATTTTGCCAAAATCGAGAAAACGTCTCGTATCTCAGTTTGAATAGACGGTAGACACATGGATGGGGGTGATTTGGGACCATCAAAGTGTCCTCTATCTATACATCATGCATCGTATGTACATTTAAATCTGAAGCACCCTGTATATACAAAGCTACGTCAAGTGAGACATTCAGAATGATCAGCCTACAAAAAATCACTATTAGCCATCTGGTTGATAATATACTTCGAATGCAATAATATTTTTAAATATTTCTCTAGTCGCTCTAGTCGTCGGTGCCTTCTCTAACACGGAAGTGACGAAAGTGTCTAAATGCGATTCAGATGCTTATAATTAAAAATATCTATTTTTGAAACAGATACAAGTAGGGCATACCCGAGGGCATACCTATAGAAACGTATACCTATCTGAGATAATTTGGCCATTGTCCATCATGCTTTCACACAAGTCAACTGTCAAAGTGAATAATAAATATCAAATCTCAGACGTCAAATTCCCAAAATTCTCCAATCTCATTCGCATCAAATGCATATCTCAAGTGGACCACCCGGTACTATTCATCGTTTTATAGTTAAACGAGTGATACAATGAACAAAATATCTTGATGTTCCGGATGGTTGAAGTTTCCGGTGTTTCCTTAATTGCGATGTATTCAATATTCTAAGCTGATTTCAGTAAAAATATACGGATTTTCTTCGATGTTTCAATGTCATTGACAACATCAGCAATATCAGCATACTCAAATTATTGCGCAGTAATGGATTTATGTAATAAAAATTATGCGAAAACGCAGTACTGATGGCTACTTAAGAAAATGAAACATACAGTGTGGCTAGAGCATTATTATAAAATCCACATTTCATGACCGATTTCAAGAATTTCTTTTTCAGCAGAAAAAACTTTGGATCACTTATTCAAAAATTGACTTTTCATTATGCGAAGATTTCAGAGGAAATCTGACCTGAAAACTGATCATCAATTGTTTGAATGATTTTTTTTACTGAATACCCAGTCCACCGAAAAATCGGGAACTATATACCATGTGCAATAGCAAGTGCCATTGCATGTGCGAATAGACTTTTTGGATGCTCATTGATTGAGTGTCATAAGATTCGAAAAAACCAGACAAAAAAGATAATGGTCATCATACAAATTTTAAGGTCAGCTTGATATAGTCCTTTGGTATTGAGATATCGGCGTAAAACTGAGAACTGAGATACAAAATTTGGAGAGAATCGGTGGAAAATCGATGGAGAACTCAGAAAAAATGAGGCTAAATTGTTTTAGAGAAATATTGAGGCCCTATAGTTAATATTTTAGTATTTTCGAAAAAGGGATATAATAATATCACGATACCCTTGAAAGTTGAAACTTCCCTACTCATGACTTCCGAAAACTGTGGTTATATTGTTTGTCCTTTGTTTGAATTCTTTTTATGTTCACATAAACAAGATACAAATAGAATTTTCGGGTATTCAGTCAATTGAGACCAAAATATGTACACAAATAAAAGTATCGAAAGAACAAAGAACAACTGAGCGTTAGCTTCCAAACACGAGAACAAGAATCTAATGAATCCACTGTTTCTGGAAAGGACCAAGAATGTTAGCCCAAGAAACAATTTTCCATCAAAAAAGTATCTGATAACGCTACAGCATGTTCTTTGATCTAATAGAAATTCCATAGTTTTTATTACCTGAAATCATGTCATTTTTTTCAACAAAAAATGTTTTCATCTTTCCAATCCGCTAAAAGGAAAGAACATTTCAAAATTAGATAAGATTGTAGATTGTAGATGGGTCGTATAGGCTGGGAGACCTCTCGATCACTGCATCCTAGAAGATCTATTGTGATTACCCCTATCTAGTTTTGGTCCTCTAACCCTAGACTTCTGATGAAGCCTACAATTTTCCTGACGGTTGAATTTTCCACCTCAGCAGGGGTGAGATAGACCTGTTCTAGGTGGTTCAACCTTTGGCGGACTAATACTTCACATGAGCAAAGTATGTCTTCCGCTGTTTCGGTCGCATTGTTACAAAAGCGGCAAGTGTCAGTCTCCGCCAGGCCCATCTTTTTGAGGTGGTACCTCAGAGGGCCGTGTCCTGTGAGAAAGCCTATGATAAGCTTCAGCTCTGGTTTGCTGAGGCTGAGTAGCTCTTTGGCTCGGTTCTGCGAATGGTTGATGAACCTTTTCGCGTGTTGTTGGCCTGGAGTTGCTCTCCAGTAGGAGGATTAGATAAAACATGATGGCTGAAGAACGATGGCCGCTTGATTGTATTGTATTGAAGGTATATTTGTTTTTACACCGGTAGGAGTAGAAGTTAGTTTCTCCGGTAACAAAAGAGGGGTAGAAGTCTCGTATTATTCCCTAGGGAGATAATTGTGACCTTTTTTCTTCCTAGGGAGTTTATATCAACTTTAATTTTCCGCATAGCTCTGCGCTTTCTTTTCGGAACACCCTTCTCCCCTTCTTCAAAGCGAGTATAAGCTGCATCATACATATTTCTGGATCTCACTGGTATATTATATGCAAGTTATGAATCATTGCAGAAGCAGTATCAATAGTTTCTTGGGGTTTCCCCTAGATTTCTTGTTCTATAACCGTTAACCATGTTCAAAGCTGTTTTCATGAATTTCAGTTTCATATTTGCTGTCACCATAGATTGTCAACAAGATTATATTCTTTTTCAATTTTTGTGTTTTCACCAGCGTAAAAAAATAGTATATTCACCTCAGGACAGAATGCTATTTTTCCCTCGGTGCTCTGTATCTCTCGGGTTTCGCCCTCAAACTACCAATCGCACCTTGGAAAAAATCTTGCATTTTTGTCCCTTGACCGGCGAAAGTAGAAGTTAGTTTCTCCGGTAACAAGAGAGGAGCAGCAGTGGCGTATTATTCCCTAGGAAGATAATGTGACATATTTTCTCCTTAGGGAGTTCATACCAACCTTACATTTTCCGCATAGCTTTCTTGCATTTTTGCATTTCTCGTTCCCCGATGTCTTATGTACTATAACAATTGAATACGATCAATGAAGTACCTATACTTCATTATTTACAGAGCATTTTTGGTTTTTCTCAATACAGCTTCTATTACTATTCTTTACACTCTTGATGTATAAAGAACTATTCAGGTTTCAACCCGAGAAAAGAATCTACCCTTACTCACCGAGACTTTCATTCTCCTTAGCCTCATTGCACCTTCCTACCACCCTAATGACAGCCCTCCCGGCCAGCCTCGTACAAATCATCATGGCCCCAAACCGGGGGTCGGGCTCCGTCTCTGCTTCCTCCCCGATTTCCTGGGGGTACTGCGAAGGAGGGCGCATTTTCGTCAAATAACTATTCGATCCTAATGAGGCGCTAGGGGTAGTGTGCACCCGGCGTCAGAAACAAGAAGAAGACGGAGAAGAAGAAGAGGTAGTAGTTCTTTTGTTCACGCACAAACTGACCCCGACGAACTAATAGCCAATTGAACTACTGCACTTTCGGAATCACTTTTGGCGCGGTGGATAGCGGATGAATGTTTGCCGGTAAAAGTGCGTCGCCGTCTTTATATCGAGTGAGGCGCTTTGTTTTTGTTTTTTGTGGGTAGGGGGTGAAGGGGAAAGATGAGAGCACGGTGCGCGGAAATCGGCGCATGCGGTTTTTGTTTTGTTTGTTATTGTTTTGGATGTGAGTCAGCTGATCATTGTGTTTTGATTTTGACTCAAAAATATTTTCCAGCAACAGAAAAGGTTTATATACAGTTACTGTATACATAGTGTAATAAATAAGTTCAAAACTTATCAGAAAACCACAGATTGACCTCAATATAAACCTCACGGTTTTCGAAATATTAGAAACAAATTCCTATATATCAGATAATTTGTTTATGTTTCGAGCAATTAAGGAGTGTTTCATGTTTATTCTTATTTTCGATGAATATAACCTACTGACTAGTAGTTGTAACAATCGCAGATGGCAGATTTACGATCAACAAAAAAATCTTCCTCCGATATCTATCTTCGTTTCAGAGTTACAAGGCGTTTTTGTTAAATATGTCTATATACCTCATCAGAGAATGTCAATAATTCTCAATTTCAAAGGATTTTTCTTTTCATATTCTCATTTTGGATATTGAACAGATATAATTCAATGTTCGACCTGGCAAATAGCCAGGAAAGTGGTTGTTTTCTGTTGAATATACCTAGAAAGAGTTACTTTTTTCATCGAATAGAGAATGCGAATTCTCAATGAATCTCCATTTGTTTCACGTTCATAATATATCTGAAAATTAAAAGATATAGGAAGACTAATCTTATAATCGAGGGTCCACTATTAATTGGTATATAAAAGTTGCAAAATCGTTTAAAACTCATTATTCTAGATTTTTTGGGATTTTCTCTCTTCGTTTCTATGAAATAAAAATATGAATATTATTTCAATATACATGTAGTAAGGACAAATCAGATGATTTGCACCGAAATTTCACTGCGTTTAAAGAATTTTCCTATCAGAGAGCCTAAAAGAAAAATTCACTAGCTTGTCAGTTACAAATTGTATTGAAAACGGTTTGGAAAAAGGAAATAGAGGTATATAGAAAAAATATGAAATTTTCACTTAGATTGGGACGAAATTTTCATTTTCAGATTTCAGTAGTGAATACTATCTTTTATCTATATCAACTGAACAGGAAGCAATGCTATTGTCTCCGTTCAGAAGAATGCAAGCAGATTCCTTGATTTTTCTCTTCTGGTTGTTATATCCTTTTCCAATGATTTTTATATTATTCCACTCTGCCATATGTTGTCCATCTTCAGTAAGGATATGTTTAGCTAGATATGGCAGCAATTTCTTGTCTAACATATTTTTCCCATTAGAACTTTCTAGGGTTTTTTTCTAGTTGAAAATACAGATATGGTCTGCTCAAGTCTGCTGTTTTAAATAATTTTTCAAATCAATAAATAATAACGAAGTTTCGGACACTTAATATTGGTAACACATATCAATACCTACTTTGAATATAACATGGTATGTGGTAAGTTTTCAGACAGTAGAAAAATAATCAACTATATCTATACGAAACTAAATTTTTCTTGAGATAGTTTGATTATCTGTATTTCGAAAGTTGAAGCGTATCTGGACTACTTTTGATTTTTTTTATTATAGGGTGGGGAAATATGTATTCATCGTTTATCTTGATCTCTCCGGACTTTGAACTTCCCATCTATTCCTGGTATAGTTTATTATCAAAACGTGGCAGTGGATTTGGTCCGAACCTCTAATTTATTGCACATTCGAAAATAAACCGATGTCAAGATGAAGCGTCGAAAATCCAACGCATTTCGGTCTTAGTATATCCAGCGCTATTTCGGGAAACACTAAGGTCATCGGGATATTCGTCTGTTCGAATTTTCCTGATTTCCCTGCTTTGTCTCAGGACATGTGACAGGAAAACGACCTTGCCAAGTATTTTAGAAAAAACATACGAACGCGAGCAGATTTTCCTCGAGTTATTTTAATCATTTCCTGGTCCACTATTGACTATGCTACTCAGAATTCATTTGAATAGATTAAAAGAAGACATTCTCTGTAGTGGCCTCCTCAATCACCAGATATGTTATCATTGGATATTTTCTTGAGGGGCATTTTGAAATGTTCCGTAAACGCGAGAATCGGATGCTAAATATTTACGTAACTAATCCGAAATATATACTGTACAGAGGAAGCATGTGAGTCCAAAAAACATTTTCCGGGTATTTGCGTACTCTATTTTTACGACAATCAACCAAGCAAGGATAGAAATTTTCACAAATGATAATATTTCCACAAAATTCTTAATCACATGCCATGTTTCGCTAACACAGAAGCTTCTTCAGAAGATATACTGGTACAATGAATCAAATAGTTCAAAACAAAGCAAGTTTTTTCATAATATTTACGTGTAGAACAATTTCAGGAACAATCTAATCCTTGTTTATATTGAATTCATCTCAAAATTCGAACAAATATCGTAATGTATCAAAATGTTTGTTGTCTGTATCATGAAGGCTCTCCGACACTCCGACTCATGTTGATGTTTCCAGAACGTGGTTATCTTCACATTATTCTTCACTTTATACGGTACCTACGTTTCAGCGTAAAGTACAGTCAAATGCAAAGAACATGTCACGATTGTATGGTGTTAGCGCTCTAATTGCAGAAGTGGGTAGAGTTGCTATCATCGTCTATGTGCGACATTTCTTTTGCATCTGACTGTACATTTTCGTATTTTGGCATATCCATCTATTCTATTTTGCGAATATATTGAACGATTTCGTACAAAGCCTTTTATTTTCTATAATAATTGTACTGTAGCAACTTTCGATGTGAGCTGAAATAACATGTGATCTATATCAACATATTGATGCTGAATTCTATGAGCATGTTATATTATACATGTATTGGGTGTCCAGTGCTGCCAACTCTGCCATTTTAGTGCTAGTTCTAGCCATTTTTAAGCACATCTGCTAAAAATTGCATCTAGCCATTTAACCATTTCTTAAGCTATTTTTCATTCTGAATTTGTATAAAAATATTTTAATTTTTATTTATTTACACCAGTCTGTATTTATATGGATTTTGTACTCCATAATTTAGTGTCATTTTGTCAACTTCGGTGAGTTTTTCATTTCAAAATTTTATCATGCGCATGAATCGAAGAAATATTGACGTTGACGTCAACACATCACGTCTTAAGTCAACGTCAATATTACTAGAGTCAGTAGAGTCTAGCTCTAGATCTAAGCTCTAGACTTAAATTTTCAATGTCAGAATCGTAGTCCATGGTCAGATCTCTTGTTCTTGTTAAAAAAATTGCAAAAAATGGCTAGATAGGCTAAGAAATGCCTAAAAATGTTTTCGCCTGCGGCTCGCTTTCATTTTTTTGCCATCATTTTACTGTGGGTGTCACACTTCTGTCGGAAGTGAGTATATTGAAAGCACCAAGCCAAGAACCAAGCCAAGGAGACATGGGGTAACTACAGAAATGAACCGAATAAACCCAAAATTCACATGATATTCATTCATCTTCTGCCTTTTCAGAGATGCAAAGGTTACGATGTTTATTTTTTTTAGACAATGGACAAATCCAACAATAATATATATACCTATTGGTGGTCGTAGTTGAGAAAACTCAGATCAAACTTGGTATCAAACTTAATCTGCTGAGACAAACGTGTCTGAGAATTTATTATAATACATTATTTGTTCGACTAGATTTTGATAATTATAATAGTGGCGTTATAATATTGAAAGATGTCCTGAAAATATCTCAAAGTAGGAGTAGCCCATTTTGACGGTACTTTTTATTTTCGGGGTGTAATAAAAATGTTCCAAAAATGTGTCCGTCGTCTCTTTGTTTCAAATATTGAAACTCTGTTCTTTCTGGACCATAACGAAGTGTTCTGGCAGTTTAGACCGATAACAGACGTAAACGTCTATTTTCGGAATGAAATTTGGACGTCTTCCAAGCCGTGTTCTGTTGGAAAACGAGGTCGAGCAAACGCTTTGCACCTTTAGACCAAATGCGCAGTTTTGATTTCGGGAATTTCCATTTTCACAATTATTTTTCTTTGTCGGTACACCTGCCAAGATCGTTCATGCGCAATTCCTCGAACCATATACCAGGTGACCCCCTGTAACCCCTCTGAGACCAACTCATACTTTATCAGTTCATCAAATCAAATTATCGAATTCGGTTCCAATTCAACTGTCAAAAAAATCCACCTAATATTCAACGGCTTCGAAAAAACTTCCTGGTTGCTATGCTACCTAATCAAATCAAAGATCTTATTGGAGCAGGAATGCAGAGGGTAGTTGGCTCCATTTTGACAGGTTATGGTTTTGTTATTTATGCATTGAAATATCTCGAATAGAGCTCGATCCTAAACGGAAATATCATTGAATCAATGAATCACTATCGGCTACATTCAATGATGATATCCTTCCTAATTTACTGCAATCGGCCAGAACAGAATGAAGCCGACACCCATGGCTCCTTCCTCTTGTTGTGCCTGTCAGTATTTTGGGTGGTGTGGACGTACTCGAAGTATTAGGCGCTCTTAGATGATATAATCTTCAAATTTCTTAGAAAATGGATCTGTTTTATTAGTCAAGTTATGAATAACATATTGTAATATAACGATAGTGAAAAATTATAGATACTATCGCAAAATATTGTCAAGAAGTATAAATGCCTATGAATTGACACCACTCAAACTCTCGTTCGTTTCAAGGTATTTTATCATTAATTAACTTTTCCAAATTAAAACATTCAGTACATTGCAGTTCGATCAGGCCAGCGGAGTTCATAGACATCATTTCCTTTATAATTTGCAAAGAAATCGCTTACCGCGGCGATAATACCTAGGTAAGCGGTATCGAAAAGCTATCGACCGTTCCCCGTGTGGAAAATAGCGAACCTAGCATCGATTCCGAATATAAATAGTACCCGAATCGATGAGCCGATCATTCATGATTCAGTATTCATGATTGATTATTCATTATTC